TTTCATACCTCATTTTGTATTCATAAGTTTGTATTCTTTTCTTAAAGAGAGCTTCCAAAATTCAGTATCTCTTCCCATGAACAGTATAATGAATCAAACACCTATGTGCCAGCTAACCTGCTAAATGTTTTACACATTTACTCCTTAACCTCACAACTCCATGTACAAGAAAAAAAAATTGCTATTTTACTGGCAATGACGAAAGTTGATAAATAATGAACTTGCCCCCCAAATGAACTCGACTGAGTACCCCAGGTCAATCTGGCTCCTAAGGCAAGTTACTGGTTTAAAGTACTCATTCAAAGGAGAGGACTTACAACAACCAACCGTAGGTGTCCTTTTTAAAGATTCTCTCCCAATTCAGTACAAAAACGTCTTCCTTTTTCTGTAGCTAAGAGTTTCTAAGAACTGTCCACTTAGTTAAAAATAGCATGTTTCCATTGTTTTCTACAGTGTTTAATTAACCCTTTCGCTGCATTAATTGATTTCAAGTTTTTTCCCAAAATGTGTCAGAAATCCACAAAAAAACAAAAAGTTGATATTTTGAATATTTTATGCATTTAAGAGTAATAAAAATTTGAGCTGTTTTGTATATGTGACATTATTTTTATGTCTTACAGAATGGTACAGTTGAAACCTATGTAACTTTACTAACCATTGTCACCCTAATAAACTTTCATAAAAAAAATTCTTTTTTCTTCATTCTTGAAATACACAAAAAAATAGAAAAATGTACATCTGCTTTCCTAAACTTCCTTTCTGGAAGTTTCCATCCACAGTTCAGCGGATGGAAATATTCATTTGGATATATCCTACCATCGCCGCAAAAGAGTTAAGGTGCTTATAGTCCTTTAAATAGACGTGAAAGCCACTTGTCATTGTTATTTGCTGCCTGTGAACTTGATCAAAATCCCCTTCAGGCCTATCCTAGACTTCTCCTTCTTCCCTAACCCCGCCCCTCTCCAGGTCATGGCTCAGTGCTGAGAATCCTTAGTGAATCAACTCTGCATTGTTGTTGCTGAGGCTGTTCTTTAGCTATTATAACTTTTTGAACCAGAGAGAAACAAACTAGAGATGCCAGAATTTTCTACTTATCTGCCTTGGATTTTTGTTTTTTTTTTAAGAAAGCATTCATAAATCACTTGATTTTTTTTTCTCAAGGTGGCGAAATAAGTTATCGTATTACCCATCTGCCAGTTTTGCCATTCTATGTATGCCTGGTTTTAACTTAATTTAATTGAGTCCATATAAAAATAGATTACATAGTTGATAAAGTTGGCAACTAATCTAAAAAGGTTAGACTCTATAATTAAATTAGGGGTCTAAAAGAAGGAAGGTTGGATAACAGTATTCTCCAACCTATAGGACTGCAGGAATGAATCAGTTGTGTGGCATCCCCACACAGCAGGATATCTTGCACTTGACTTGTAGAAGAGAGCAATATCATTTCCCAGAAGGCTGCTACTTGCAGGGTTGAAAAGTTGTTTTGGGTGCTAGGAAGGCTTCACTTCAGAAGCTATCTATCAGTAGGAACCTAGAGGAAGCCCAGAACTCTCTGTCTTGGTAAGACGTCCCCATGCCCTTATTCTACATGAACGCCTCTCTATCCTGTCTTCACTCACACATGGTACATCAGGACTCAGTCACTGTACTCCTTAATTCTATTCCTACCAGTTACCTCAAGAAGACCAGAATTTTCAGATCACTGAACTCTCAGATTTTGAGATTTCTGTCAAATGAAAACATTACAGTGTGTCCTCATCCACCTTATTCACCAGATCTGGTACCATGCAACTTCTGGCTCTTCCCCAAAGTCAAAATTATTCAGGACATTGAGGCAGCCACGTTAGCGCAACTCACAGAACTGCTTCAGAAAGTGGCAAGAAAGATGGGATAAGTGTGTTGGAAGCCAGAGGGAGTATTTTGAGGGGGATTAAGGGCAATGTGTCTTTTACTGTAACCATTTTTATTTTAATTTAAATATTCACTGTATTTTCTGATCACACCTTGTATGTATATGTTACGTCACAACTTCTGCTTAACAAAGAGCATAGTCTTAGATAGCCTTTAGCACCAAAATAGAATGTTTAACCTTTCTATAAAGTTATAGTTAAAGAAAACCATATTACGAAGTTCAACCATTAAGTTCATGAATTTGTTGCAATGATGTTGCTAACCTTTTTTGATATCAGGGGGATTACTCACTATGAATGTGTACCAACTGGACAACAGTTAACCAAGTTTATTATTTGGAAGTGCTGAAAAGGCTGCATGAAAAAGTTAGACCACAAGAACTTTTAGCCAACTCATGGCTCTTGCATCACGACAACGCACCAGCTCATACGACACTGTCTGTGAGGGAGTTTTAAGCCAGTAAACAAATAACTGTGTTGGAACGCCCTCCCTACTCACCTGATCTGGCCCCCAATGACTTCTTTCTTTACCTGAAGATAAAGGAAATATTGAAAGGAAGACATTTGATGACATTCAGGACATAGGGGTAATACGACGACAGCTCTGATGGCCATTCCAGAAAAAGAGTTCCAAAATTGCTTTGAAGGGTGGACTAGGCACTGGTGTCAGTGCACAGCTTCCCAAGAGGAGTGCTTCGAAGCTGACTGTAGTGATGTTCAGCAATGAGGTATGTAGCACTTTTTTCTAGGATGAGTTTGCGAACTTAATTGGCAGCCCATGTATAACACCATATGACTTAATAAGAGAAATGATAAACTTATGTTAAGAAACTGTTAGCATTCCTGAGAACGATGCCTCTATTTATCTTCTAAGAGACTATTGAAAAAAAAACTATTATCATCCCAAAAGTAATTTTCTTGTCATCAATTTCCATTGCATTTATAAAGAATATCATTGAAATATCTTCAAAGAATACAACCATGTTATTTAATTATTGATCAAATGTTACTTTGTTGCTTAAAGTGCCCATGTGGAGACAAAATATGAATTTAATGTATATCCTGTTTCAAACTCATAACTTGCTATTAACAAATTTGACCTATGGGAACAAATTTCCTATATGTGACATCAGCATCAGTCATGTGATGCTATAGGATTTGTAAAGATACCGTTTTGGATCCAGAACAATGTTTTGATTTTATTTGAAGTATGGTCCCAAACAATTTTCTGGTTCTATTTTCAGATCCATCAGGTGACAACAATATGATTTCACATTCTGGAAACATCTATTTGCAAGTGGTTCCACCCCTTCAGACAAAAGGCAGGTGTTTCTTCTTTCAATATGTATTGTGAGGCTTAATTAATGGGTGTAAAGCAGCTGGTGAGTGTCAGATGAAAGGCACCATAGTAAGTAAATGCAAAAAGAATTACGTAAGCATTGCACTGTGTGTCATCTTGGCTGGCTTGGCAAATGGAACTGTCAGGTAATTGTCCTTTATTGTCCAGTTACTCTGGAAAGACAAGGTCCCACATGGGATTGGTTTTTCCTAGAACGTAATATATACCTGGAAATGTATCTCAGTGACACTTGTTTGGCAAGAAATTACTTTTCAATTCCATCCTAGGTGATTTCACAAAGGTTTCTGAGCACAACTAAGTGAGCAAAGGAGGAACCAAGGTATTGGTTTATGCATAGCTTTCATTTATAACTTTCCTTCCAAGATGTGCTCATGACAGGGAAGGTAAATAGGGCCTAACTCTAGGGTAAGTGCTCATCAATTTGTGAAGGTTGTCAGGAGGACAATGGTGGAAAAGATTCTGAGGGTCTTCTAGAATAGCTAGGGTCTTCGGAAAACAGGGTCATGGAAGATGAGCTTTGATTCTTATGGCCGTGAGAGCAGAGAGATGTAGCAAAAGCGCCTTGTGCTTACAGCCTATGCCACAGGCCACGATTACTATGGTCAAGTCAGAAAACGGTCATGATATTCATATATACACACATATACATATACATATACATACATTTTAAACAAGGAAAAAGACTGTTAAAATTGTAATACTCAGTATATACCGATAACAAAAGATGAATACAAGTCACGTTTGACTTCTGCAAGAAGTGCTCAAAGTGGTTACCATCAGCTTAATTTTAATACAGTTTTTTCCTTTCTTAAAATGTGTATACATTTTTTGGCACCATCTGTATAGAACATACATATGTTATATAACATATGTGTGTGTGTGTATATATATATACATATACATATATATATATATATATGTATATATATGAAAATTCCTAAGGGTATGGTACACCTAATCCTGCCAAGCCATGTTTGTTCTCTAAGTAAAGACATAAAATATATTTTTCAGTTGGACTTTTTTTCCTGGTAACTGGCTAATTTGAAAATAACCAATTGAATTCTACCAAGCCATTGCTTAGTAACCAGTTGTTTGATTAAATTTAGCTTGCTTTTCTTCATACCAGGGCAGATACAGCTTAAATATCCTTTGAGGGGCCATGTTTAATGGGTTGGCTTAATTTATAATCAAACTCGAAGGGGCCTCCGGGCTTCAGAAAATTTAAAACTATAGAATTACCTTGTTCTTTCCTGGGGCCAATTAACTGGGCAGATTCTTTGCATTCAGCTTGAAGCTCCCAAACCTTTGCTAAAGTTTCGTTTTCTCGCTCAGCAATTGGAAACCTATCTCCTTGCACAACAGAAACTAAGCATGAACCTCAGGCACACTGAGCTGAACAGACCTTGGCGCCAGTCCCCAAATATTGATGTGCAGAATATCCCAGAAAATGCAGTTTCACTCTTCTCCCTTTCATAAGCCGTGAAAGGACGTGAAGGAAGTATGCCAGGTTGTTATTCAACTCTAGTATTTAATCAAGCATTACCCGGGCACTTCTGAAACTCTCTAGCTTCTAAATGGAGAGTAAAAGCAAACAGAACACAGGATGGAAACCACTTAATGAGAAGGCTCCCAGGAGTACTCAGGATCATGTGGCTGTTTTCAGACAGGTCCCAGTTACTCATTCCACACACTCCTAAATATCAGCGAGAAACCCCATCTCCATGCTGGTGATTATTTCTAACTCAAAGCTCGCAGCTTTCTCAAGGATCCCAAGACACATGAATTCACTTTGTCTTCAGTGTAATGTTCTGTAAAACTGATTTCAGTCTCCTGCAGACAAGGCCCTTCACTATGGGCCCCTCTACATTTTCTGCATCCGGGCTTGAAGTATCTAAGAAGGGCATGCTACTATGGGAAAGATCTGTTTCTGAGTCAGGAGAACAACATGCAGCCAGCTCATAGTGACAGGTGCAAGGCATGACTCACTTTGGTTTCCTCACCTGCAAAGGGAGAGAGAACCCAGCAAGCACCAGAATTTCCTGATACACCAGGGGAGGTTACCGAAATCTTTGTCCTTTTTTTCACTTAGGACAAGACATGAATGCACCTTGTTTTGCCACCGCTCAAGACAACTAACTAGCCTGCCCCAAAGTCAAAACAACCAACCTATGAAAGCTGGAGGGTTGGACTTATTTTTTTTAAGGCCTGAATGAAGTGGTGTCTTCGTGCTGACAGCTGAGAAGCAGGTCGGTCAGGTTCCTGGGTGCTCTATTACACAAGCAAGGTACAGCCAGCGCCACCTAATTTTGTTTCTCTGGCACCCTCCTCCTTAGTGGGACGTCATCACACTTAACCCATCTGCTTTCTCTAATGCACGGCAGACGCATTCCAGCCAGGACAGCTGTGATATTCCAGCTCCTGTTTGTAAACACCTACTAGACCCTAAGGTAAGTGTGTCCTGGGTGCCGTGTTACACAGGTTCCCTCCTCCCCCACCTGTGCGTCTGCTTGCCTGTCTGTCTGTCTCTCTTTCATTTACTTTCAAAAGTGAAGAAAGTGGGCTCACCTTTTGACAGAACAATCTGGCAAGTAGCTAAGAGGCCTTTATAAAGACAGGTAGTTGTTTCATTATGCAATTACCTTCCAAATGAGCATTTGCACTGTTAAGTGAGTTAATTTTTTAGAATTACTGCCAAATTTGCAAGATGATGAAACAGGCAGAAGAGCTAAGAGAAAAAACTTACTTAAACCATACATGACTACAAGAGAGAGTTTCCTTAGGTCACATCTTAGCAAAAGTTTCAAAATATTTAAAGTAGAAATTATGACATGAGTATCAATTAAATATTTAAATTTAAATTATGCATTTGGCTTAAAGGTCATTGCTACACGTATTAGAAAATGATCTTTTTTGAAAAAAAATCTTCTAATACAATGAATTATATTCCCAAAGACTGTCTTAAAAAGTTAGCAAAATGTGTATGTAATTACTTTACTTAGCATGGTGTACGTACATGTCTGCCACTCACTGGCTATCTAAAAGGCTAAGTCAGTTGCCACAGAAGACATCCCATGGAACAAAGATGTGAATAAGGTTTCTTAAAATTATTTTCAGTCTGTGGCTATGGAAGGCTATTTTTATTAAAGGGATATCAGTTTTCCACTCACCCACTTTCTATTTAATCCATAGAGATGATTTCTACAGACAGTGAACCTTGACAGAAGGCTGAAAACCCCATGTTTGGGAATTTGGGTCCAAAATATTTCTTTTGAAGACACAGTGTTTGTTTCTTTCTAAGCTTGACACTTTTTCACCGAATTATTTCAGTATTGAAGTTGATGATTAAGAACATCCAAGTTAGCAGGGAGTATGGCATGCTATGTAAATATTTCCTGGATTTATGTATACCTCAGTCTTTTAATTAGAATGATATTCACAAACTTTCTTTTTTGTCTGAAGCAAAGTCATGTTTTTCATTTCTTTTTATTTTCTTTCTTTATAAAACAAATAAAAGTGAAATGACATGCCTAAGGTTCTCAGGTACAGTTTTACTTTAAGCCTTTTCACCCTCGCAAAATCCTCATCAAAGAGGCACTTATAGAGGCATAGTTCCTTATGTCCTCATTTATTCTGGCTCTTTCCTTTAAGGAAAGCAACATATTGTCCGAGATTGGAAAGGCCACTCATAATAACGCTCAAGGTCTGCCTGGGATATTGGCTACCTGTCAGCTTGAGTTACCCGTGACAAAGTCAAACAAAACCCATCTGTCTTACTGTGTAGCCTGAGATCTATAATAAGTGATCAAAAGTAACTGAGAGAGAAGTAGCACAGTGTATACACGCTTTAGTTATTTCACTACAGAAACATGTTTTTATATTATTCCCTCTATTATGCCCAAACCAATGTTTTTATTTAAAATTTCTGATTTTGATTGAGTTTAGAATGCCTAGCATTTTTCTTCCCTTGCATGAGTTGATTACCTGACACAAAGCAGAATACCTCCTTATTTTCAAAGCTTGGCATGAAATGGGTTACGACTCAATTACAACATGAAAGCTGAGCAGAATAATGACTTTATGCACTAAAGGAGAAGCAAAATTATGCACAGAGAGTGTGGATTTGCTTCCCATAATGGGCTGTTTTTTGTTGTGTTTTTTTTTTTCTTTCTCACCATCTTCCACAGTCCTGCATACAAAAGTAAGTAACATGAACCCACTTATTAGTGCCAACACCAAAGATGGGAGAAAATAGTGTTCATTTTCTCTGTATAAACGAATTATTAAAAAGAAAAAAGAACCAGTGAAACTACACTCTCTTAAAGTATATTTTAAAAGTTGTTAAATATGAGAACCAATAAAACATTTCCATATACACAGACAGGTTTAGAATCTGTGCTAAGGTAACACAAAGTGGATGAAAATCTCCTCCCCTTTTCTGTCTCCTTTCTACTAATTCTAATCTTAGGAGTTTTTCAAGTGTGTAATGATCTTAGCTCCGATCCTTTGTTACACCCTCAAAATTCCTCTCAGGAGTTTCCATCTTAAGCAAGAAGAGGCAAGAACAGAAGGGCAAATGATGGTGCCCGGTTCCCCTGATTTTCTCTCCCACTCCAATCTCACTGCTCTTTCAGCCCACGTTCTGCCTGCCGCTACAACGCACCTGGTTGACAGATGAACTTGGGCACAAAGAAGCATTCCATCCGTCAGCATACCTTAGCTCTTTACGTAACAAGTATGCAACGTAGTTTAAGTATTTGAACTCCAGAGATGGGGCGAGGCTGAGAGGAAAGGACAGAGGGAAGGATTACAGACTTAAGGTTCTCTAGATCGTCTGTACCACCCCCATCCGTCTTTACTGCTTACAACATGCTTTTTGTTCAATTCAGAAATGAGATCGAGTGTAACTGAAGTTGCTCAGTCTTTGCTCCAGCGAAAGTCCAGGGCTGGGGTTCTGAATAGCTTGTGGCTTTAATTCCTGGCTGCTTTTAATCCTTTAAGGTAAAGGAACCTGAGTAAGAGCTGTAACCTGGTTCTCCTAGAAGCCAGGGAACAGAAGCAAAGTTCTCCCCTGCTGCCACGCTGGGACAACAGGAATAAATCAATAATCACAAAAGCCTTCCCCACAACTGTATTAATTTCGGAATAAATTCACAACATACCATCTTATCCTTCTGCTCCTTTTATTTTCCCTGGAGATAAATTATGGGCAGTAACAATGCTTGGCTTATTTGAGGTGTTTGATACCTTAGGTTTTCACGTTGCAATCAAAAGCTGGGTGAAGGGTAGAGAGATTCCCTTGGTGGTTCAATGTTACAGGCAAAGTGAAACAGGAACAACAAAGCTCACTTTGTTGATTCGATATGCAGGTTTCTATAATGGGAAGGGAGTGAAAGCTCAATACCACATTTCTTGTGTAATATTATGAGAAAAGTAGAACAGCTAAGGGCCATTTTCCCCCCCGCTCTGGTGACCTCTTCATTAGGAGAAGAAAATATCCAGAAAGCTTAGGTATAGTGAAAGCAAATCCAACTGCATAATAATAAGACAGGTGACCAAATACAACTCATAAACTAATCAGATCAGTGGCAGCAGATAATGAAAAAGGCTATAATATATGCCATGAACCTGATAGCTCACAGGAGAAAGATGTTTCTGAAAAGGCACATGTGAGTATTTCTAAACTAAATGGAACTGTATTTTAAATGTGCTAGGTGAGGCATCAGTTTAATGAAATGTTGGTGAACTATATAGGTCCTGGGATAATTATTTGTGTTTTGTTAATGTTAATCTGTTAACTACACAGTAAAAGTGTCCACCTAGAAACCATAGAGATAATTGTTAGGATTTTCTTAAATTAGGATATTTAATGTGTTTGAGGAGTACTTAATGTAGAAGGCCCTATTTTTCCAGTGTTTAAAGAAATGGGATTATAAATTGCTCTGGTTAAAATAATAAATTTGGAGAGCCTATGCTAAGAAAACATTGATGGTAAAAAGTTCTAAAAAGCAGCTGAGTACCAAATCCCATATTCCTTTGTGACTTTTGCTACATAGATGAGTGATCAGTAGCTTTAATGCCAAGACTTGAATCCTAACCCTAGCTCTCAGTCCCTGTGTGTCTGAAAGATATGCCTCGTTTAATCATCTGTAAAATAGCATTAATCCCTCCTCATTGTTTGTTTGTTTTTGGTTGAGAATTAAATGAGAAACGTGCAAAGCATCTGATATAATATATCCATGATATTAACCTATTTCCCAGTTATGTTAACAATTTTTAGTATCTAAGTCAATTTTCTTGGTTATGACAGAAAAGTGAATATAAATAAACAAAATTACTACAAATACAAATATATAATCCCTACCACGTCAAGAAATAAGAGTATCCTGAACACACAGAAGCCCTTTCCATGCTCACCCAATCAACAGTCTCCTTTCTTCCCACAAGGAACCGCTTTCCTGGCTGCTAACATTCTAGTTTTCTGCCTGTTTTTGAACTTTATATACATGGAATCACATAGTACCACTGGCATGTTAACCTCTGCGTTATGTTTGTGCTAATCACCCATACTGTTGCACCCGGCTCTAGTTTGTTAATTTTCACGTATGAATATCATACAACTTATTATCCAAGTTGTTGCTGATGGATTTTAGGCTGGAGATACTTATAAGTGATGTCCCTGTGAATGTTTTTGTATGTCTGCCTGCCTTGCTTTTTCAGTAGGTATGTCTTAAGTGACAAGCCTAGGCCATGAGAGATACTATATCTGTAACACCTTAGGAATCCACAGGTATAGACTATGTGCTAAAAGCTTTTGAAGAAAAATATTGTATCAGGATATATTATAGATATATTTAAGTTGTACCATTATGTAAGAAATCATTAAGCAAAGCGGGGGGGGGCACTTAAAACCGAAAGATAATCAGAAGTATTAGAAGCTCCTCAGACTAATGAAAAATCATGAGGATTGAACATATTTGTAAAAATTTCTGGGAGAACTTTTAAGGAATAGCTGGTCACACTGGACCTAAATAATAGCTGTAGCACACCCTGCCTTTTCTTATCTCAGTCATCTTGGAGGCTTTTAGGGAAAAGTAAGCTCTAAGATTCTATTCAAAGAATATAAAATCAGTTTTCAGACTTCATTGTTTGAGTAGGGATAGTCTAGTATTTTTTTAAAGAATAACACTTTCAATAAAAAACACTTTAAATTTTAACACCTAATGAGTTTGGAGTCAGTAGACTTGCCTTTCAGTGTTGCCTCTTCCATTTACTAGATTTCATTACTAGCCACTCTGAACCTCAGTTTCTTCATCTGCAAAACAGGGATAATATAAGCTATGCTTTTTGTCTCAAGGGATCATTGTGATGACCAAGTGAGACGATACGGTAAACTGTAAGCTGTAAGACACTTACAGGAATACTATTATGTTTTAATAAGGAGAAATGGGTGTTAATATCTATTAACTCCTTACTGTAGGCCAGATAGTGTTCAGAGTACTGCTAACTGAAAAATTTCATTTAGTCTTCAGAACAACAATGTGAAGTCAGTATGATTATGATGATGACGATGATAAAGCAACTGCTTGTTATGATGATTATCTTTCACAGGTTATTTGTGACCAAAGCCAGAATTTTAATATAAATCTAATTTCAAAAATCTTTCTGTCCTGTTCTCCAGTCTAAGAATTTGTGGCACTTACACACTTAAGAGGCAAAATGATGTCCCTGGACGGAAGGTCAGCACCATGGTTTCAAACCCCAACTTTGCAACTATCTAGCTAGGTAATTTTTTTCACACACACTCCCAACCAGATTCTTCTTATATGCAATGAGAAAATGTGATTTTAAAGTATCATAAAATCTACATCTTTCCAATTTTCCCTAATTTGAAATTAGTAGAAAGAATGGCATCATGAATGGTATTGTGAAAAGGGGATGTTAATTTCAAAACAAATAACTCAAATTCGGTATTAAAATCTTTTCAAGTGGGGTCTCTGACCGACTCATTTTAAAGTGATATGTTTAGTTTATATTAAGTAACAACATTTTCATAATAAATTTGCCAAATTACACCTTTATAAAGGACATTTATCTTAAATAGGTTGAAGAAATCAGCCAGCTCTATAGGCACTATAGCTACAGTATTTAAAAAATTTTACTTAGCAGTCCATATATATATAGTGTGTGTGTGTGTACTTTTTTTTTTTCACTGTCCCAAGCTAAATGATCTTTTAAATAGTGGAACAGTGGTGTCTGGCTTGACAGTTTGGCATGGCATTTCCCCAGAGGAAGGAAGAAAAAAAAATATTATATACAAAATAGAACTCAGTTATTCTAGTTTTAGTACATAATTCACAGGAAGCAAACTTTTGGAATTAAGAGTATGCTATTATTGTCTCAGCATTATGTGTCTGGATTTTCATCACTTTAAAAATGCAGACATAATTTTAAAAACCTCAATACTTCATTTAATAATAGAAACGGTTTTATTTTCTTTCAGCTTTCCTTTAATAACACCAATGCCAAAGAAGGCTACGATGTTGACCTCGGCCCAAATTCTGTTCATTTCAACACTGTTCAGTTTACTACTATTTGGAGGCTACGGGGGAGAAGGTCTAGAAGTAAGCACAATGCAAAACATTGCAGAAGGCTTCAAAACAAGGGCAAATGGACATGTGTCTTTGGAAAGTGAAACGAATTTAAAATCAAATCAAGGAGACAGAGAAACCTCCAATCCTAAAGCAAGTAACTCCTCTCTTCAGGAGTCATCAAATAAAATCCATGAAACAACAAATTTCATCACTATTTTGCCAATAGACAACTTATCCAGGAGTCCGAGACCTACATCCCCGTTTTCCACAAGCCCTCCCTTGAGCCACAGTTTTGTGTCTAAATTGCCTCAGAACTCACCTGTAGCAGCAGATGGAAATCCTGTGTCAGTCTCAGCACCTCCCAACACTACATCTGCTGTAACTTCAGAAGATTTCACTTGGTCTTCAGCCAATGATATCATGAAAACTCCTGAGAACACCTCCCTGACAGGTAGCATCCTCCCTTCAGCACCACCCACCATACCTATGAACCCCACGACGACGGAGCCTAATGGATGGCTGACCACAACGGGTGATCCCTTGGGGGGATTAACCCCCTATCAGGAAACGACACCACAGCCCACCTTAAAATTCACCAATAATTCAAAACTCTTTCCAAATACATCAGACCCCCAAGAAGGTAAATATAAACAGATTTAACTTTCGTTTTATGTGAAATAATCTCCAGGTAAATCATACAGATTACATCAAAGGACTGTGTTTTACCAGAAAAAAAGAGGGCTTGTCATAGGCACAGATGGTTCCCATTTTTAGGGGAAAGCGTGATACTCATTGGAAATAGTGAAGGGAGTTTGGAACTTAAGTCAGCATATACTAGTCATTACTGTATGGGAACATGATGAGGTAGTGGGACAAAATGAGGATAGGCTGAAAAGAAATACATAGTAGTGATATAGTTTTGAGATACTGTGTAACAATTTTCATTGAATCTAGAGACTACCAGAAATTTCATATACTTTTAGGAATACTGTACAACTGAACTTTAAAAATATATGTATGTGGGTTTTGAAAACTGAATGAAATAAATGAATTTGTAAATTATCTGATACCACATGGCAATCATAGGAAAAGAGAACACTGATATTTTTTAAAAAGCAAATAAACTCAACAAAAGGAATTTAATTTTTAGTTTAGTGCCCAATGGACACCATAAAAATGAAACTTAGCTGTATCACAAGAAAATTGTATTATGGGGACATTTTGTGTTTCATTTTTGGGGATTACATAAAGTGAATATTAAGATATCTAGTATTTATTGAAAATTCATTATGTTTTATTTTTTCAGGTCTAACCATATTTCTGTTTCCCTGAAATTAAAAAAAACAAACAAAAAACACTCTTTTATCATCTATGAACTCACCAATTTCCAATACTACAGATTAAATTAATGACGTACACACCAAATGATATATACAAATTCCTATTTGAAAGTTGTTGCTAGTGACCAGGAAAAGCTTTAAATTCTGAAATCTAGGCTTTAGGATAGCACTGCAACCAATATATTGTATGTACATATATTTTCATTTTAGCTATAATCTTCTCACATCCTTTCATTCATAATATTCTGATGTGCCATTAGAAATATTTAAAAAATATTGTCTCTCTTTTGTCTCTCTAAACTCAACATACATATTGAGAACACTGAGTATTTACTCCTACCATTGCTCTTTAATGATAAAAGTGTTAAGTTTGCTTCACTTTTATTGCAGTAATAATTTTGCTATTAAGTTTCCAATGGAAAGGTTAATTCTTTTAATAAATGGGGTTTCATACAGAATCAGAGACTCCATAAGACCCCTTGCCTACCTATTTAGTAAGCTTCTCGGGAAATTTAAATAAATATTAAAAATAAAATACACTAAGTATGAGTTCAGGACGCAGGAAGTAGTTTATTGATGACAGTCTTCAAATAAAGCACTCGGTAAAGGGATGACAGAATGAAATTTTGGGTTTCTTAAACCCAGACCCATACATCTGTTCCTGCTGTGCAAGGCATTGTAAACATTTTGCTTTGATCATTTGTTGTACTTGAAAATATCCTTACCAGGATATGTTGCTTTTTCCTTTGAGTGCATTTTCACTTGGAGTTTTGTGGATTCGTGTTCTGTAACCACTTGCTCCCTTAGCTTTTTACTTTTGAATTATTATAGAAACAAGCTCAAACTTCATTTTAGCATTCATAAGAGCTTCAGAGTGGACTAAAAACAATATAGCATTCAACATAGAAATTATGTCTTAACGGAACATAGGTATCACATTTCAGTATTATTCGTGTTGATAAGTAATGAGACACAGTTATAAAATTAAGACTTAGAAGTATTTCAAGGTAGTTCAAAATTTAAAGTGCTGTTTTATCAAGAAGCATATTTTGCCAATATATCTCAAATACTCAGTACTTTATAAAACACCCCCCCCACACACACACACAATCACCATTATCCAATTTTTAAAAAACTGTGAAACATGCTTTGATACACAGGAAGTCTACATGTATATATTTCTGTTCTATGAATCACTTTTATTTCTTACCTGTAAATTATTTTTTCTTTGTTTTCTAGATAATAGAAATACAGGAGTAGTATTTGGGGCCATTTTAGGTGCTATTCTGGGTGCTTCATTGCTTAGTCTTGTTGGCTACTTGTTGTGTGGAAAAAGGAAAACCAACTCATTCTCCCATCGGCGGCTTTATGATGACAGAAACGAACCAGGTAAAAACAACTTTTAGACCCTCACCTGCATGCAGTGTTTTTAATTAAGTGAGAATGCTAATGGTCACTATATTATCTAGGAGGGATTCAGAGATACATGTGATAGAAACAGACAAAATATTTATTCTGATCTACTCTCTGTTTCTCAAATAACATAAGCAAAATAATTATGGACCTGCGAGTAAAATTTTGACAATATTTGAAATGGCTGCTCATTGCATGACAATTGGTTTTAAATAATAATTCCAGAACCTAGAAAATATCTATAGACTTGGGAGATAATGGTATGACATTAAGGAAAAAATGGCTAGTTTTGTTAGCCATTCCTGCAAAGCCATTCCTTGCTGTTGTTGGATCTCTTAGCAGCAGTAATTTGAATAGAGATAGATTCTAATTTGGAGCTCTTCCAAAGTTCTGCATATATGGTAGCCTTATATTCATTATTTTAATGAATCTCTAAAACAGAATTTCTATAGAGTTGCATATTTGGATACATAAAGTTGAAAAATACCTTAATTCAGGAATTTTCCACTCATGTGATGGAAAAGAACAACGATAACTCCTATGAATAAGAAATATGACTGCTAAGAATGAAGAACTAAGATTGATTGTAACGTAATGTTTAGAACAGAAATGAAGTTACTTCAAATGCTTGACTCATCTTTTTTTATACTTCAGGAAAAAAACAAACAAACACAACTGTTTTCTTGTTTACACAAGGGGCTCTTGCTACCATAAAAATATTTTGATGCCCCCTGGTGAGTCCCATTGATAAAATCATGTTGGTTTTTGATAAATTCAGATTATGACTGACATGTGCCCCTTTTCAGAACCAAATTCACTACTTGTAAATTTAACTGAATTCTGTCTATAGGTTTCTAGAATCCATATAAACTAAAAAGTGGCATTTTTCTAAATTAAAGGATAGGATTTTGAACAACAGATGTTTTCAAATGTTTTCATTAAACCTCAGAATTTTTTCTTTATCTGTAATTACATACAAAAGCTCAGTTTATTAAATTGATATTATTTAAGATGTTGTGATTGAGGCTTAAGAAAATAACTCAATTGCACCACTTAATTTTACTCCTTCAGGACAGAATTGTGACACCTCTCCCAAGTCCCTAAGGTTCTTGGGAGACCAGTTTGTAAACAGATGGCTTTAAAGAATAGGCAGGATGTGGAGATACCTCACTAAATAATTATTTTACTAATCTAATTAGTAAGTAGTCACTGCTTTAGTATTTAAAAGTACCTCATGCATGCCAAGTTTTCTTTGAAAATAAATTCAAGCTCATTAAGAAAATAATAGGTTGTTTACTGAAAAAAGAGAAAAAAAATCCTGTATCATTAGTCACAAAACCTCAAGTACATAATAACTTGTATTTATCAGAAGGAAACATACGTTTTCACAAGTGGTGTTCTTTTGTCTCCATGTTCAATGGCTCAACCATAAAGGTATGAAGATACTTGTTAGAACAATGACACTTACTGTAAAATTAATACTCTTCGCTTTTTAGAAATTATTTTCACCCCACAAGTAAAAATTCTCAGGACACTGACACAGGCTCTTAAATCCTGAGACTCAAAGGTCAGACATTTGTCTACACCTCTTTATACAAAGTAGTGCTACACGTTTGGTATGATCCCTCCCTTAGTTCTTTCATTTTTGGTCCACCAGCAGGGACATTTTGGAAGTTAAACTGTTCTCTTAGTCTTAGAAAGAAATGTGGCTTAAAAAAATATCTACTTATGTAAAATTTCAAAACTAATATCTGAACGCCCATATAAAAGACCTACTTACTTGTCTAGAATAATTGCTATGATATGGCAGATACATGAGCACGCATCTTTCAGTCCGTCACTATAAAACATATTCTTTTTTTTTTTTTTGGTTACGTTTTTAGTTCTGCGATTAGACAATGCACCGGAACCTTACGATGTGAGTTTTGGGAATTCTAGTTATTACAACTCAAATGTGAATGATTCATCCATGCCTGCAGGCAGAGAAAACGCGCGTGACGGCATTCCTATGGACGACATACCTCCGCTTCGTACCTCAATATAAAACTAAGGGGAAAAGGTTTCAGAGGGCACGTGTTCACCTACACCCCGGCCTTTTCACAAACCCATCTTCCAAAAGCTGAAGCAAGATCACTGTCACGTGGCTTGTGCCAAGGAGAACTGGAAAAACATGAGATCAGTGTCAGAAACAGAGAGAGAGGTGAAATCGCCCAGAAAATGTCCTTCCTTACCATGGTAGGCTGTGCTGAACATGTACTGAGTCACCTTCATTTGTATTTTGGTCTATTATTTTCTCAGTAAGAAATGTTTGGGGAATCAGGTAAGACTTAAAAGATTTCACCTTGATGGCCCTGCTTGGTCATTTAATTAAAAAAATTTTTTTTCCAATGAAAATGGAGACCCGAAACTACATTTTCACTTTTTTTTTTTTTTGGCCAAAAATCAATGGATTAACTTTTCACTGTTCCCCCTGTAGTCCTAGTGTCATCATTTCAGTTGACATCCTGTTGAAGGAACATTGGAAGTGATTTTTTTTTTTTAATTTTGGCTTAAAGCTAGAAAATGTCCCCCTGTAGTCCTAGTGTCATCATTTCAGTTGACATCCTGTTGAAGGGACATTGGAAGTGATTTTTTTTTTAAATTTTGGCTTAAAGCTAGAAAATGAGTATGACATAGAATTTCTGTTTCCGGGAAATTAAGATAATGGAATGAGAGACTTATATTCTAGTACATTTTACTTTTCTGGGTCAGCACACACATAGTCAGTCCCTTGGTTGTCAAGCTGACAAGAACTTTGTATTCAACAGGGCCCTATGAGGAAGGCTGACCCTAACAAGAAAAGCAATTGTTTTTCCTCAAAGGATGGGACAATTCCTACCTCTCTGGCTTACTTTAGGCCTCAATGAATTGGGTACTTTAAAAATTCAATTAGAAACAGGGTGAAAAAAAGTCAGCCAAAGCACGTACCTGTACATAATTTTGACAGTTTTAAGATGTTAGGTAGGAAAAGAATTTATGTATTAGATATTATGGCTAAATCATAAATGGAAGAGATTCTACATCTCTAAATATATGAAGTACCAGGTTTAACAATAGATGTATGGAAATATTCAGCAAACAAAACATTTTCTGAGCATCACTTTCATGATCGAAATATAAGATTCCTGTATGTTTCAGGTTGTTTTTAATTACGACCTGCTTTTGGCAGGAAAAACATTCTCCTTAGTACAGGAAGATCTGAGGCTTTTAGGAATCAGAGGATTAGAAGATCAAGAGACAAATTTCTAAAGAAGCAGTGAACGAGTGAAGACGGCAAACAAAGCCAGAGACTTTACTGTTGAATTGATAGATGGGGTGTGTGTGTGTGTGTGTGTGTGTGTGTGTGTGTGTGTGTGTGTGTGTGTGTGTGTGTGTATGAAGAAACACAAAAATAGCCTCAGAAAATGAGGAAGTAATGGAACAACCTACTTACCCCATATTGCCATAAAAATAGCGAAGAAGACTGTCCCGCCATTATCAAACAAATACGTCACCTTAAAAGAAAACAAAGAAAATATTAGTTACACTGCTGGTTATAATAATCTAATGACTGCTGTTTGCATTTAGGTACTATGATTTTTTTTTTCCCAATGGAATCACATTATTTTACAGTTTGTAAATGTAAGAGATGAGATCATTTCATGGATCCTGCCACTGTTTCATCTGATTTTCCCAAGGGGAAAGTTAAGACATCAGCATTTCCCCTCTTTCTTCTCTCTTCCCTTTTATTCCATTTGGATCCACCTTCATTTCTGCTTAGAAGTGGTTCTAGCCCCCAAAGAAGTGTTTGTGCGCCGGGGAGTCAAGCTACAATGTGAGCTTGTAAGAAGCAAACTTTTCAGCTGAGTCACACCAAATGGGACTTCTTAGCACAACTTCCAGGATTGGGGAAGTTGGAAACTGCAGAATTCCACTAGAGATCCAGCACTTCCAATGGAAAGGTATCACAGTGCTATCCATACTCTCTGGGGTCTTTCAGAGTGGGTTATGGGTCCAGCAGTGGCTATAAGAGGTAATAAATTCCATCTTCAGTTATTTTTAAGAAGTTTCATAAATCACTGCAAATGTAAGACATAGTCCAAGTGTTTTTCAATCAGACATTACCTGATGTCTTATAAAGAACAATGTATAGTTACACGATGTTACTGAATACAATTTTCAGGGTACAAGGATTGTTTGATTTTAATAAAGTCTAAATCCAATTTACCTTTGCTTGTTTTCATTGCATAACGTCCTCACTATATTTATAAGTTAGTGAGGGAGACTGAAAGGATACAGTCAAGGCAGTTTATGTTTGGCAGTCACATAAATACCATAGAAACTATAAAGAAAATAGGGGCACTATCCTTATAGGAGAGAGAGGCCAGTTAGAGGCTAAAGAACATTATTTATAAGGGAAGTGGCAGTAGAATGGCGTCTTTGCTCAGTCTACAGTTCAGAGGCTGCTTGATGGGGGCATTGAAACAACACTAATGTGTATTTTAATTGTAACACCTGGAACAAACTACAAACAATATATAAAACAGATAAAGGTAGGGTGCATTTTCCTGTAATGTAACATCACTGAAAATATCATTACACAGAAGATGTGTCATTACATAAAAGTATCATTACACAAAAAAAACCATTTTGATGGTTTGTGGATAGACGCAAGCTGTCTTAGATGGCTCTAAACTTCTATGATTGTTAAGGTTTGCAATTTCTCCACGTGCTATAAAAACTGGTTTTCATAACAATCATCAGTATATATTATGTACAGGAGAGCAAAAGACCATAAAGAAATTCTCTCACAGAGCTCATAAAATCACACCCAGCAGGGGAATCCAGCTCTTTTGTTACCAAAGGAAGCTATCCCACAGAGACACCTGCTGCTGCTAGGCAGCTGAACAGCTGTCTGCTTTCCTTTCTAAACAGACCTAGTGCAGGAAACAGCCTCTTAGAGCGTGAGAACAGAGGCTTTGCACAGGGGGAATTAACGGTGGCTCTCCCGGATCCAGAAACAGCCTCGCTTTTAGAAAAGTAGCAAATAAAAAGCCATGCTTAACCACAGTTGTATTGCAGGGACATGGTTTGTCAGAGTATATGCAATATTTTTCTGGAACAAGCTTTTCATTTATTTTCGGCTAGGTTTGTTTACAAATACTTCCAGAATTTTTTTAACTCAATAAATTAAAACATTAACTTTTTAGAAATACATCTATGAGACTCAGTGTGGTATACATATAATGTGAGATTACATGCGTATATGTAATGGGAGATAAAGCTAGAATGGGAATTGCGAAAGACTTCAGAACTTGCCCCAAGGAGGACTGCAAAAGTGTAAAATCACTGTTAG